GAAGCTGCCAGACTTCTCGGGTAAATCGGGAAAAGTGCGCTATTCATTCTCCAGGTAAGCCCTGTGAGCCTTGCCAGTGGCCTAGAGCCACCCACTGTCCCCCTGACCCCGGCGAGGGGCAGGAGGAGTGGGGGTGGTGGGGTGCCCCCAGCACAGTGAGGACCATCCTGTCCCCTCCACAGCTCCCTGCAATGTTGGCCCTGTCCTTGGTACAGGCTGATATCTTCCTGTTTTACTCCTTGCCCAACGGGAAAACTGGGACCAGGGTCATGGCACTCTGGACATGGCTGGACTGTGTGCAATCAAAGCCTGGGTAGTGGAGATGGCCTTGCCTGTGGGATCAGGGCACACGTTCCTGTGTGAAGCAGGAGCCCAGTCCCTGTGGAAATGCCAGCTCCCCGCTGCCCAGGTGCCTCTGTGCTCCTGCAGTGCAGTGTTTGGAGCTGCCTTGGGCGGCTGCAAGGGCCACATTCCCAAAGGTGCCACTCTGCTCTGTGTGTCCCTGCCTGGTGTAGCTTTGCAGCAGCAGAACTGCAGCTGGGGATGCTGCCAATGCAGTGACTCCATCCTGCTCTCCCTCCCTAGCCTTGTGCTTGGTAGTGTGGAACTCCTGACTTTTCTTTTGATTTGCATATTTTTAGACTGCGCCTTCGTGATTTCCACTTGCCGTACTCACGGATTACCCCAATCTCCAACGTGGGCCTGCAGGTCGCCATCTCCAACGCCTATACCGAGGTGGATGGGGACTGGCGGGTGAAGTTTCTCTTTATGTGAGTGTCCAGCTCTTCCTCTCCCTATTCAGGCCCACTCTGTGTCCCCCTCTCTGCATCTGGACAGGTTTTTTCTCCTCTCCCTCTCCCTCTCCCTCTCCCTTGTGTTTTGGGCAGCTGTCATTTTGCTCCCCCAGATATGATGGATAAAACAGGGTGGGAGGCAGGAACAAGGCACATGAAAAGCGAGCTATTCATGGACCCTCAGGTCTCTCTTCCACCACCTCTACTTGCTCTCTCTTCCCTCTGTTTAAAGGTTACCTCTCCTAGTTTATGTGCCAGTGAAATTTGGTTCCCCTGAATTTAAACACTTTCCCAATCTCCTCTGGATGCACAATACAAGCGGGAGAGTGATCTCGATAGATTCATCCTGAAGCAGATTTGAGGTCTCTTCACCAGACCTTGGCATTGACAAACATCTCTTTATCATCTCCCTCTATCAGCAGCCGGGACCATGGATCTTTCAACCTGAAGGTGGAAAATATCTACATCAAAATCGTCCTGAGGCTGGGCGCTGACACCACTGGGAAGCCCACCATCAGCACCTCGAACTGTAGTGCCCGCGCCTCCAAAGTCGGCTTGCGCTTTTCAGGCAAGCTTAAGTATGTGACTCCACTGAAAGGTCTGGAAACACTGTGTGTTAGCCCAGCTGCCACTGGAATGTTGCTCTGCCATTGGAATGAGGCCCTGGTGTGAGGAGTAGCTTGTTGGCAAATCTGAGGTTGCCTGGTCTTAAATCTGGCCTGAATTTCTCCTGCTGTGGCTGCACATTTAAAGGGGGTGGGTGTGGTTTAGCAGTGAGACTGTTTTCAAATGTAAACCCTGGGGCAAAGCCAGATGCCAAATTGGTGTAGGAATGATGTTCCCAGGGTCTTGCATGTCTAGGGTCTCCCTTTCCTGGGCAGATACTTCTACAGTATGAATGAGGGCTAGGCAGGGCTTCTCTCTCTGCTTCTCTGCAGGTGGCTTTACAACCTGTTCCACCGCGTTATTGAGTCCAAGTTGCGAAAGAATTTAGAGAGCAAGGTATGTGAGCAGTGGAATGCTGAGCCCTGGGTTTTCTGGTTATCTTTAGTCCCCCCTAGTAGGTAATGTCCTCAAAGTTTCAGAAGTAATGTTACTAGATGTAACTATAGCCAGAGAACACACCAGTGGGATGGGTTAATCCTCTTGGTTGCTCTTTTTTGGCCATGCCCTGGCTGCTCAGCACGGTTCGTTTCTGCATTGGCCACATGAGATTCCTTCCAAGGGTCTCCCCAGAGCTGAACTGTGCTGAGGGGAAATTGTTGCAAGCAGATGCTTGTAGGTATAAACCCTGCTTGTGTCTTGGACACTTAATGCGCTGCCTGGTGAGTGGAGGCAGTCATCACTGTGTGCTCATTCACTTAAGCAGGCTTTGTCATGGAGCAGGGAGCATGGCTGTGACCCGGCTGCCCCTGCTCAGCTCTGTGGCCTTTCTGTCCCATAGGTGTGTGACAATGTGGCCAAGTCTGTACAAAACGAGCTCCAGAAGCAGGTCCAGACGCTGCCAGGTACTTGGGGGCTGTAAGTGGGTTTAGAAGCAGCTCTTCCTAGCTTTTCTCATTAATGAGGAACCTTTTATTTTGTGTCCACTCCCAATGTCCTGGTGTTCGGGCACCCAAGCTGGGAGCTGGGGAGCACATTCTCAGCTGAGAGAAATCACTGTGTCCTGTCTGGCTGTGGAAATTCCTTCAGAATCTGTGCCCAAGAACTGTCAGGGGCTCAGGCTGATTTAGCTGGGGGACCCAGGCCACTCCTCAGGCCCAGGGGATGGCTGTGAAAATGTCAGGGGAAAAGTGGGGGTTTTTGCCTCCTAGCAGAAGCAGGCATGCGGGCAATTGGCAGTGAGCTGATGCACCAGGAAGCCCAATCATGGCACTGCCCAGATGCCAGTGGAGGCCATCTGCTCCCAACCATATCATTCATACTCATCTCTCTTGCTTGTCTTTGCAGTCACAGCCAGGATAGATGACAAGATTGGGATCGATTATTCCTTGGTAGCACCGCCAAGAGCTAGCCACAAGTCCCTGGACCTGGACCTGAAGGTGAGAGGCAGCCCTGGGAGCACTTGATTTGCCCAATGCCATTGTCAAAGGTTTTGGTATCTGCTGCAAGTGCTGTTTGCCAGCAGGTGAGCCCCACTGCTATTTGCACCCCTTCTCCATGTCTCTCCCTCCTCCCAGGGTGAATTCTACTCCCTGGCCCACCGCTCCAGTGTCCCCTTCTCACCGCTGCCACTGGCCTTCCCCTCGGATCACGAGCGCATGGTTTACTTTGGAGCCTCCAGCTACTTCTTCAACACAGCCGGCATTGCCTACCACAAAGCCGGGGCACTGGTCTTTGAAATCACAGAGGCCATGGTGAGTGGCACGAGTGGGACAGGGCAGGGAAAGAGGTTCCTTTTGTTCAGGAGCTCCAGGAGCAGCCAGCAATCCTGGAGAAGCCCCAGTGAGAGAGCTGGGGGCTGTGGGATGGGGCTGAGCTCTCAGACATGGCAGCATGTGGGGATGCCATGGGCTCCTCTGTGCCACATTGCCCCAGTGTGACCCAGTCCTCTCCCTGCAGCTCCCAAAGGATGCAGGATTCAGCCTGGACACCTCTATCTTCTCAGCCTTCATTCCCCAGGTGAGCAGTCTGGCCCTGCCTGCCCAGAGCTCTTGCACACACAGCCTTTGCTCTGTGCCAGGAGTTCCCCTCTCAGGACTGGGGCTTTGTGCCATCATTCCCATCCTCTCCCTACTCCCTCCTACACAGCTGGAGGAGAAGTACCCAAACATGCCAATGAAGTTCAGGCTGTCCACTCCCACTGCTCCGTTCCTGAATATTGGACCAGGAGGAATCTCATTTCAGCCCATTGTGGATGCCCAGGCTTATGCCATCCTTCCCAACTCCAGCCTGGCTCCTCTCTTCCTCCTCAGCCTGGTGAGTTCAGACATGGCCTGTGGCAATGGGGCAGAAGGGAGTTTGAGCTGTGCCCAGTCCTGTTGCCCAGATCCTGCCAGGAGAGCTCCCAGGTGCTGTCCAGGCACAGTGAGGGTGTCCCCAACTGAAGAATTCCTGAGCTGACAAATGCCAGGTTTAATGCTGGGTGCAGACATGCCCCTGGATGGGCAGTGGTGTGTTTCAGCTGGTCAGAGCTGTTCCCCTGGGTTTCTGACTTTGGGGTGAGGTGGGGTGAGCACTGCCAGAGCTCTGTGCTCTCTCCCCAGACAGGGAACGTGTCCGCTGTCATCAACGTGAGATCCGGCCGCATAGTTGGGAGCCTGGATGTGGGCAGGTACAGAGGGGAGCAGCCACTGGCTGGGCAGGGGGTGGCTGGGGGTGTTTCTGTTTTGGGTGCCCAGGGACAGAGAGGGGATGGGAAGGTCCCTGGGATGTGGGCCTGCTGTGGAGGGAATGAGCTGGGGCTGGAGGGAGTGGGATCTGCGTGCCATCCATGATGGGTGCAATCGCTCCCTCCCTCGGCACATCCTCCACAGCACCACTTCTGTCCCTGTGCAGGATCAGGCTCTCCCTGAAGGATTCAGCTGTTGGCACTTTCCAGGTGAGCTACCCTTGACCATGACCAGAGCCCCCAGCATGGAGCTGGCAGCCTGCTGGGGGCCAGGACAGGGAGTCATTCCCTGCTGCTTCCCAGCATGGGACCCCACGCTGACCCCGCAGCCACCTCCTGCCTCAGCCTGCAAGGCTGGGAAAGGATGTGGAGCCTGATTCTTTGCTGCTCTCAGCCCAACATTCCCTACACTGCCAGTGTGAACAGACAAAGCTGCTGGTCTCTGGCAAAGTGTGTGCCCATCCCAGCTCCTCCTCTCCTTTTACTAATTATCCTCAAGTACCTTCATGTCTCCTGTCCTGCAGAGTAAAGCTTTTCCTCCCTCATCTCCCCACTCCCCAGGTGCAATTACTGCAGTCCATAATGAACTTCTTGACATCCAGTGTCCTGCTCCCACATCTTAATGGTGAGAACCTACTGGGGGGAATGGGGTTGCTGAGCACCCTGCACTCAGGTTATTCCACTCAAGGGGTCCCAGCTCACTAATTAAATCCTCATTGCCAAGGCTGATGCAGGGAAAAGTGCGTGCAGGAGGCGGCAGTGAAGCGGTGGGAGCCTCTTGCTGCTCTGACAGGCTCCCAGCAGCAAACGCAATGGAAAATATGAGCCCTCTGCAGATCCTAATGCTTTCCAGACCCTCTCCCCGAATCCCTGCATCTCCTGCCTCGCCAGCAGCTCAGACCAGAGTGGGGCTGGTGGCAGGAGTGGCCAAGGGGGCTGTCATGGCACAAGATGCAGCCCTTCTGTGGAGCTTGGGAGGAGTTTCCTCTGCCTGTCCCAGGAGTAGTGGAGGAGAGGAAAGGGCTGGGGGAAGGATGTGGCCACCTTCTCTGAGTGCTCTGTGCTCCCTTGACTCCCATTCCCATCCCAATGCAGACACATGTGTTGTCTTTTCCAGCCCGCTTAGATGAGGGTTTCCTTCTGCCACTACCGGACAGGATTCAGCTCTCCAATATCCTTGTGAGGTTCCACCAGGTGAGTGAGAGGGAGCAGCTGGCCCCAGCTGGAGCCCATCGTGCTGCCCACAAAGCCCTGCTTACCCCAGCACAGCCTCCAAATCCAGTTCTCCCAGCTGTGCT